ACAATGTTGCCATTTTGATTAAATTCGACGGTAAAAATATTCCTGAAATTACTATGAAAAAAAATGATAGGATTTTTTTTTTATTTATAAAAATGGTTTGGCTTATTTTACTATGGCTCAGCAACTCTAGGGTTATCTCTCCAAAGGGAGGGATGCCTTCTTGGATAACTTTCTAAGAGAACTGTTTAAGTACAGTTACTTACTTACCACCAGCTGAGTTGCTGTACCGCCTGTTATATGACTATCACCATTTATACCCAACTAGAGCATTCTATTGTCGCTAGGCCTCGCCAAAAATTTCTATAGAATATTAAAATTTGTAGCGAAATTTATAAAGTTACTTTGAAAGATGGATATTTGTGACCTCTGGTTATTAAAGAGACCCTGTCAAGACTTTGACTGTGATGAATGACTTTTTTTAGGTTTCTTTTAGATTTTCGCAGTTCATTTCTGCGAAATGAACTATAATTCATATAGTCTATAAGAGTTTTAAGTTTGTTTCGTAGTAGCTTACACTTTTGGAGTTGTTTCAGCCGTACCTGAGCAATTTCAGCTCTATACGGCCGGAAATGTATGTCTTTGGTTGATTTCGCACTCGAACATATGGTGATCGATGGTACCTGTTGAGCCGCATATGCATGAATTTATGTGGTGCAATCCGAAGCGAAACAGATAGGCTGCAAAAGGGCCATGCGCAGTCAGGAAATATGTCATTGCTCTGCCTGTAGTGTTTAATTCCCTTGTGGCACCGGGAGGAAGTTAAATGTCCTCCTGCCTGTTAGCTCTTTAGTTGCAGGGTCCGGGCGTTACCCAAGTAGTCATTGAAAGCCGTCCGGGAGTGCGGTACCTGTTACCTGTTACCTGCCTGTTAACTCTTGTGTCCAATTAGTTTTCCACAGGAACATAAGGTCCCGTTCCAATCTTGATTTAAGATGTGGTAATGGAATTTGCAGAGAGATGACTGGGGCAAGTTGTCCATTTGCACTATCTCTGGTCAGTTAGTCGGCTGCTTCATTGCTCAATGTGCCCTCATGGGCGCGTGTCCAGTGAAGCTTGGGACCGGTTTGTCTCTGGGAAATAGGATAGTAAGCGTTGAATTTCACTTGCTAGTGGCAAGCGGTTCGGCCCGATTATTCCCTGTAGGCTTGAGGCCCTGTCGGAAATTATAATGCTTTTTTCTTGTTGTTTCCTGGCAAATTTCGCAGCTTCTCTGATGACTAACAGTTCAGCTTGGAATACAGAATTTGTGCTGTTAAGCTTTGCTTGCTATGTTTTAAAGTGCAAATTAATTCTGTAGGCACAAAAGGCATTTCCAACATCCATTTTAGATTTTGACCTGTCCGTATAGATTCGGATTGGGAAATGGTCTATTGAAGAATTCACTATTTAGTTTTCTGTGTACAGATGGTTCGGATGTAGATCTAAATTGTGCTTATGTTCTTCGTAATCTGTTGTATAGTGCATCGCATTATTGAATATGCAGGTTTGGCGCAGTCTTGCTACTTTAAGTTTTGTTGCCTGTTGTTGTATTGTAATGGTGATCGGTGGAAATGCCTGCTATGACATTTAAAGCGCTTGTGGGGCCCTTTCAATATGCCTTTATCAGGAGAAAAAATCTTTGTACGGAAAGTTAATGCCGTTGGGCATGCGTAATGAGGTTTTTGCCCCAAGCTGAAATGCCATGTATTAGAATTTTTTCTGTTACTTGTATGGTACCATAATTTTTGTAATTTTGGGGATATACTCAAGTTGCTAGCAGCCGTGAATTTCTGATAGTTGCATAGGATTATGAACTTGTCTCTGATATATTTTGTGTTGATGCCAGGAGAGTCTGTTATCTATTATGACTCCCAGGTAAGGGATATTATTTTCCATTTTGATTCTCTCATTATATATCCGTATTATTAGATATCTAGGATTTCTGAGCGAAGCTCCCGGTTTTGAAATATAAAGTGCTTTGCATTTCTGTATCGAAATGTTCAGCTCAAATTATTTATCCGCCCATTCTTTGAAAAATATAAGTGAATTGTTTGAGTTTTCCTTCGCTGTGGTTTGTGCCGTTCGTTATTATTAACAAGAAATCGTCGGAATAGGCCTGAGCATGCGTGTGGGGGACGTTGTCATACATTTTAAGCGTTTCATTGACAATTAGGTTCCAAATGACTGGTCCTAAATAAAACCCTTGTGGGCATCCTCTAGTGATCTTGTACGTTTGAATGCCAGTATTAGAGCTGTATTGCAGCAATCTGTTACTTAGCTACTCTCTTAATAAACTCATAATTCCATCTTAACAATTTATCGTTAATAAGATTTACAATGCATCCTTCCAACACATTGAGTAGAAGGCTGCGTGTATGTCCAGCGAGTTAACTAGAGAATGCATATTCTGACTTTTATTTTGTTGCAGATTCTGAAATGCATGATCTATGGATTTATTAGCCATAAAGCTGAGTTGGTTTTGGTATATTAGTTTCTTTTTTCTGAGATGGTAGTTTAATCTGGCTAATATTAACTTTTATAGAAGCTTTCCGAAAGCAGGCATTAAGCATGTTGGTCTATATGAGTACGAATTGTCTTGTGGTTTGTTCTTCTTTAAGAATAACACTAATTCTGCATTTTTAATATGTTTGGAAATGTTGCTGATATCCAGCAAGCATTTACAAATGAATTGACTATATTCGTATCAGCAGCAAAGAGTATGCATCCTCAGGATTTTAGAGTATAAAAAGTATCTTTTATTTTATAATCTAGTATTCTCATTCAACTCCAGATTTCTTGCATAGCATTACAAAGAATATTAAACTACTCCTTTGTGCATATTTCAAAACCGATGGCATAATATTCTGTCTCGAATAGCAGATTATGTGATGCGCGGTGTTTGGAAGAATTTCTTATGAGAAGTTACTCCCGTTATGCAAATGTAATTAATAAATTATATTTATAAATTTCGATATTGTACATTATTATATACGTGGTATACGTAACTAATGGTCAGGAGGATTTTAATTCTTCCTTTCTAACGCAAAAAATTCTTACTTTACATACGCGCTATAATCATCTTTGGTTTTTGCGCCATAATGTCTCACTCTTACTTTACTTATACTGATAACTGAAAACGTTGCAACTCGTTAATATGATTTTAATTCTTCAATATGTAACTAAGCAAATCTTGCAAAGTGAAACATAAAAAGTGAAACAATTTTTAAGATTATATTTTGGCATATATTTATTTCATCATGCAACCATCACATTCTTTGAAATTCTTCACGACATGGTTGTGCATTTGAAGATTATATTTGTTGTTCTGGTATATCTCAAAAGTTGGATCTATTGGACTGATGGCTTATAAATTTAAAGGCCTGAGCAAATCTGTTCCTTATTTTCACTAACGTCTGCAGCAGAATATGAGCATTTTACTGTGACCTATCGATTGACAGTTGACGGCAGGGGGGTATTGTTTTTCTACTAAAACGTTAAGTGGTATTGTCGAGAAACGGCATGATTTACCGTTGTTCTAGCCTTCTGGCAAAAAAATCTTCCAGACGGAGAATATTCTTACTATGAAAGTAGATACCTGATCTTCAACTAATTTTAGATGGTTGATCCATGTTAAAGCATTTATCCAAATTAAATCCAGACTTTCTCGGCTGATAAACCATTAAATTTTCTTGTCAGATTTGGTTTTTATGACATGGAGTTTTCTGGTCCGAACACTAGGCGATCTTCTTCGAATTCCCCTGTTTTGTGCCTTGCTTGCCTATTTTAGGCACCTTTGATAACAGCTTGAGTTTAGCATGCATACGGAAAATTCTAAGCAAGACCATTTATAACAAAGTTCGAAGTAATATATGCTACGGCAAATGCTAATTATTGACACAAACAGTAAAACCATTAAATTGTCATCTTAGTACTTACAGTAATTTTTGCTTTGCCTCATAAAGACGGTAGCCTTGTCACATCTCTAGGAATAAGGAGCGGCTTGTGGGTTATGTATTATTACCAATGTTTTACAACTATTTTTTTCTTGGGACATCTCTTGAAGTTACCGTGGTTAAAAATGAATATCTCACAGATTTTTCTTTCACATAAATGATTAATTCAAAAGTCTAGCCATCACTATATGGCTTTTGTAACAATGGCTTGGATACGAAACGTCGAAGCCGAAATATTGCGAAACAATATGCCAGAAAGAAAGTTGTTTTCACGTCTTTTTTTGCGTAAGACCTATACGTTTCATGATAAATGTTTGAAGTAATCTTTGCATTATAAAGTTTGGTTATCGCAATTAATCATTTGAGCTGTCAACTTATCTGATGTTTATTTGCAAAATATTTATTGCATACCTCATATGCAAGCAAACAAATTGAAAAGAATGAGGCGATTGAGGATATTTTTCCATTGAGGTAAGTCACTGGTAAATGTTTCATTTACTTTCGAAATTACGAAGTGTATTCCTGGTTAATGCTCACAAAGAAAAACTGCGCACTTCTAAGTAGTATCATAATATCTTCCTATAGGAACTCCCCATCCAGATAAACAGTTATTTTATAATTATTGGAGAAGTCAAACAACAAGAATCTGCGTTATATCTGTAAATTTTCCAGGACTAGTTTCGATAATTGTGTAGTTAAACCATCGACATTAGTCCTGGAAAATTCACAAATGCAACGCTGATTCTTGTTGTTTGACTTCTCCAATAATCCTTATTCGGTATGTTATTTTAACCCACCCTAAGTTATTTTATACCCTGATTTTTTTACGTAGATCCAAAATCTGTTGCTTTGTGTTTTACTTTGTTCTTTAGAAAATTACATACTAATTATGAAGACTAAATTTTAGGTTATGTTTTTATTTATGTTCGAAGTGGAAAGAATTTGAGTATTGAAACACAAATTTACAGTTTTCATACTTGTTTTTCTAAATTTGTTTAGGAGTTGTAAATTATTCCTAAAACGAAAAATTAACGACATACCTAATTACATGACATTCTATCATATTAGGTTTCCTTCAAAGGAATACTGAAAGCCGGTTGACCCATATATTTGTCGCGGATGAATCGTCTAATATGCCTATCCTTTGGATTGTTCATCTTCGCGACATGGCAGAATACTATTGCCATTCCTCATTCACTAAAAAGTTCAAGATTGTACAGAAGAAGCAGCCTTCATGCGAAAGACCTCTTATTGGGTAAGCTTTCATTCGTGTATTGTTTCTCTAAATAAATATGAATCATTTCCAGCTTTTGTCGTATTCTGTATTAAGAGTATATCTTTGAGGGCAAAGGGCAAAGAATGCTATTTCCAGAAAATAATTTAAAATCTGTAAAAGTACATGTAAGTGGGGAAAGAATATCAGGAATAAAAAAGAAGAGGAATTTTTTTTTTTTTTTTTTTTTTTTTTACTTTTCTCTAGCAATGGCATGACCGATCGACTGCTCATATGCTCATATGCATAAAATAAAGTTCAAATTCAGGCATCCTACGAAAATAAATTCATTGCAGTGGCATAAAAGGCGTATAATAGAGTGACAGAAAATGGTGCATTGATTAGGAACTTATTCCAGAATGAAACGATAGCTTTTAGCTTGATACTTAGATTCATCGGACAATTACAGAAAAAGGGAAGGCCATATCCATCTATTATACAAAGGTGTCAGCATTTCGAACATAGCCACACATATTTGACTGATGGTGACTGACAAAGAAGGCTATCAACGTTTATCATAGAAGAAGAGGTTGGCGAAATGATTCGAAAGAATCCGAGGGTAGTTGTTTTATAAAGTGCGAAGGAGTGTGTGTCTATGTGATCAAAGATTTGCCAACGACGAACAAGATATAACAGCGATTTTACTAATTCTACGAAGGTCTTAACTTACAAAAGAATAAACGAGGTGTATGCTTCAGGCCACCAGGGAGCCTTCTAAAATCTACGATGATATTTAAACTGTGCAACATTTTTAACTCTAGGTTTAAAAATTCAAAATCACAAAGAGAAGTTAATTTTTTTCTTTTTTTCTGTCTTCAGTCAAAAATGAGGCACTGGATCGTCGCCTTGCATTCTCATTGATACTGATGCCCCAATCATATTTATGATCAATATATCAAGCAGCTCCTGTTATTTCTGTGCATTACATGTAAGCATATCTTTGAAAGGGATATACAGTTATCGTGTATCAAACTGAAAAGAGAAATCTGAAAATAATTAGGTTTAAAAATTAATTATTAAGTGGAAAATAAGATTAACATGCTGCAGAGAAAATGATATTTTTCGGGTATTTTTCTTAAGATCTTCGAGGGTTTGTTTCAAGTTCTTGTATAAATGCAGAACTCCAGGAAAAGGCTGTTTATAAACAGTAGTGCTCTTTTGTATTAAACTATCCACATAACGTTTGTGGAAGATAGTTCAGGGAACTTTCGAGCAACAGCATTCCTAATAAATTTTCAGTGTGCATAGTACTTGAATGTCTATACCGGGGAAGTTGAAGACGGCAACTTTAACCATCTTGTTAAAATAACGGCTTCAGTATACTTCACTTTTGGGAAACAGACACAGCACCGATGTTTTGTTTGTGTTGGAGGCTTTATTTACTTCCTTGCTAGTATTTTAGGAAATGCTGAGAAGGAAACCAAACAAAAAGTGGACGCTCTCAACATCACACATTTTTCATATTGGGTCTTGAAAACATCTTATAATTTGTCTATTCTTTTTTTTTTTTTTCTTTCTTTCTTTTTCTCTCTTCTCGGGATTTGGCAAAACTTTCCTGGGAAGTTATATCATTTTCCGGGATAAAAGGAAATAATTATATAGCTCAGGAATATGGTCTCCCATGTGTAACGTGTTCCGAGCGGTAAAGTCGCTGAACACTGGTAGTTCGATCCGGGGTTCGAATTCTGCAAACGGGCTAGCTGCATGGGCATTTCCCTGGTCTTTCCCATGTGTCCTATACGGTAGCAATAGCAATTTTCAAATAGCAAAATTCTGAGAGTTTTATTGTGCTTCTCGAACGAAGATACACGCGAAAATCGTTTCAACATGAAATTTAAAAAACCGATAGTAAAATTTAGAAAAAAATCTCTCTACTAGAAGATATTCTCGTCAACAGTCTGTGTGTGTGTGTGTGTGTGTGTGCATATCAGGGGACAGTTTAAAAATAAATGCCAAAATAACGAATAAAGTAACATCATATTATTCGTGATGTGTAAATGTAGATGAATTTTGTAAAGATGATTATTTAATCTTTTCTTAACATTAAACTGTCTGATTCTCTTTTTATTTAATTAATTATTTTATGGATTTTCAATAAAAGTATATTTCATAAGAACTTTTTCTTTTCATGCTCACGTAATTAATAGTCTTAATGATATGTTATCGATCAGATTATTCAACTTAACATTTCATTCCTTTTTCAACTACGGATAATCACTGCTTTATTTTTAACAATTTTGTTGCTTCAAAGGATCGAAAAATTCTCCGTTTTTGTCAAAAAATGTCGGGATTGCGTTAAAAATCTCGTATCAACTTTATTTGAAAGTTCTTCTTTTCTATACGGTAGCAATAGCACTTTTCAAATAACAAAATTCTGAGACTTTTATTGTGCTTATCGAACTAAGATACACGCGAAAATCGTTTCAACATGAAATTTAAGAAAACGATTGTAAAATTTTGAAAAAAATCTCTCTGCTAGAAGATATTGTCGTCAACAGTGTGTGTGTATGTGTGCAAAATGTGAGTTTGATAATTTATCAGGGAACAGTTTAAAAATAAATGCCAAAATTTCGACCGTAATGACAAAACTATGAGCAAATTAGGTAAAACCTTATAAAAATGCGACTAGTTTTTTAAAAATTATTTCCAGAAAGCCACGTAATTAATATTTCATATGATTCTTGTTTCTAAAAGTTGGAGAAGAGTTTCTTTCATAACTTTGGATATCTTAAATCTTTAACAGAGATATAATTTGGGATGTTAGAATTTGAAAATTCCATAATAAAAATATGATATTACTTACCAAAATAAAATTAAGCGAATCAACTCTTAAAATATAATGTTAATAAATATATATTAAATTTATGAAATAGAAAAAAATTAAAATTAAGCGATAGATTTCATTATTACACAGTAACATCATAACATTGAAACTATGGTTCTTAGCAGTACCGATTGAAGAAGGCCTTCCGTTTCACATTTTAGCTTATATTTTAATGAAAATTGTAGAAAATTGCCCAGTTAATTTCTTTTTGTCATTCTTGTTTTAAAACCGGGCGAAACGAAATTTGTGGAAGTTTCAAAATTTTGTAATTTATACATTTTTTGATGTTGGATTTGTAACCTCAAATGATAGTCTGGAAAAACACCAGAGATTTTCGAAAATTTACCAAAAAATCAAAAGTAATGTTAAAAATGTGATACAAACTTCGTTTAAAAGATTTTTTTTTCGTTATATCAGATGGTGCCAACATAAAATTTCTGGTATTTAATAGAATGTTTTTTAAATAAAGGTATGTGCAAAACATTTTAAACATTGAGTTAAAAAATATCTAAATCGAATTTTAAAATAGTGTGTCACCACATTGCATTTTCCTCCACAAACAATGTGTGTACAAAATTTGAACCCGATAGCTTATCAGGAAGTAGGTTTACAATTGAAACTGGTGACTAGCTTCGGACTGTAGCGAAAAACACTACTAGGAAACTAAATAAATGCTTACAACATTAGTAATATAATACAAAATACGTTTCGTTTGCGTAGTTACTTTCTATAACGTTGCACTTAAAGCATCTGTAACTTTAACAAACATTGTTCCTATACTTCACTAAGATTTCACATGTAACTCTTACTTAAGAAGTCCATACCATCACAGTTACAATGAGTTCCTTTAGTAACACTGCAGAATTATTTGCAGCGTTTATCCAATAAAGTCGTTTTTGAAAAAACAAATGAAATTTTATGATATTGTTAATATATATAGCTTTCCGTAATCTTATATTTTTTACCTTTTGTTATAAACATAATTTTCGTAGAACTGGTTTTTATGCTTTAATCAAATTTATGTTTTGAGAGTTCCTAGAAAATCTTTTTCTTCAACAACCAATTTCCTTCACTCTTTTTATTCCTCTGTAAAGTGAATGTTGTTAACATGGATTCCAAATTGTGAAGTGGAATTTCCTTAGAAATTAATGGGAGTGATTTTTAGTTTTTTATACTTTTAATTTTTTGAAAAAATTGTAAGGATTAGGATATGTTAATATGTTCTTATTTTCTTCAAATACGGACGGAAGAATTACCTAGAAGCAAAGGAGAAGCTGAAACTTATTTTATTTCTTTAAACATTCGGTTTATTTTATGCCTTAATGCTACAGTTGCTACTATATGTTGAGCTTTGCCTCAAGCGAGGATGTTCTAGTTTTATTCAGCAAAGAAGCTCTTTAGTTTAATGCATCCAGCTATCTTGAAGAATTTTTACTTTGTGTGTTAAACACGGTTCTGTGACTTTAATCCAAAAATCTCTAATGAGTAAAATTCTGGCGCGATTGCAAAGTAAATGCCAGCAGCTACTGTACGTATGATGTTAATTTCAAACTGAGTAATCCTTTCAAGTATAATATGTGAATGAAGTTTTATATCCATGAAGTATGTTATTTTAAATGTGTCAAGAAAGGTATGTATATGTGTCTTGATTATGTGCGTTGTAAATTTAAAGTAAAAGCTAGCATACTTATTTAAAAGTTAGGTTCTCCAGCCAACACTTTTGAGGTTAAATGAAGTTTCAGCTTAGGTCTTTAGGTACAGATTCTTGAAATAAGATATCCTTGAGATCTAATGTGTGTAAGCTGTTAATCTTGTAGGAATTTGATTAGTAGGTAGGTTTGGTTTGGTTTAGCTGGTTATGTCAAAGCACTCGACTGCTATCTGCCTAAGGGAAGGGATGCGTTCGGGGAGGACTTTCTGAGGGAAACTGGCTCTTATACACATTACACAGGTGGAAAACCATTAAAGCGCCCATGCAGTCAGCCCGTTGGCCGAAATTCGAACCCCAACCTTTTCGCGACTTTACTGCTGGGCCACTTGTGAACGTTTAATAGGTAGTTGTTGAACATTTCACACTTACACCCGGTACAAGGTGAATATCGAGGGGCGAGAATTGAATTTAGAAAAAGCGTATGTGTTAAATGTTTTGTTAAATTGT